ACCTAAATGTTTGTGAAAATTATAATAAAAAATCACTTATTTATTGCAAAAATTGTGCAGAGAAAACGTCAAAAAATGGAAATTTATTTTCATAAGCGTTTCATATTCAAAATTTTTGACTTTTTTCAATTTTTTTAGGTTCAATTACGAATTATGGGTATAAATAATAAGAATTTTTTCGCTGCCTGTTATAGGATCAATATCACGGACGCCATTTGTCCAGCAGCTGAGCAACTCGCACGCGTACCTGCCAAATGGGATGCTTCATATGTCCGCCATTTTTAAATATTTTTGGAAAAAAAAATACGTATGGACAGTCCAAAACATATATAAATAAATGTTTAAGTTTGAAAAATATAGAAAAATTCTTTCTCCTACAAAAAAATTCTTGAAAATAGCTTATTTTTCCTCGTTCTAATTGGATTTCCCCCCTTAATACGTTTAAAAATTTTGTATGCTTAATTTGGTAACTTGTTAAAAAATATTAGAAATAATTTTGCCAATTCATTAATTTATATATTACTTTTATATATTAATATATTTATATATTATAATTTTCCTATTTGAGTCAATATCATTGTGTACTTAATATATTCAATTTTTTAGTTCGGGAAATCTTTTAATATCAATATACTTCCTCTCAAAAGAATGATTAATTGAGCTATTAAGAGCTGGAGCAGACTTTCCGTGCTTATAACAATTTAATAATACATTAATTTCTGTCGTTGGAAAGGGCCGAAAACACGACCGTTTGACCGTTTGACCTATGACCTTCGTCATAGTTATGTACATCTCTACAGCTTTAATGTACCATTAAACTATTATAAGCACGAAAATTCTGCTGCGGCTCTGAATCGCTTAATTAACCGTTTCTTTGAGTGGATATCAGGAAAGCATTTTCAACAATATACTCGAGTATACTTTCGAGCGTCGCTCGCGTATGCGAAAATGTACACGACTTTTCCGCCGGCGTCCCTCCCGCGCCGCTCCCTCACCCGCGTCGATTTTCGGCCGAGACCAAGGTTATCACCCTGTCTTTCAAAGCCGGCCCGGACCCACCGCGACGAGACTCGAGGCGACGCGACGCGTTGCCCCGAGGGGCCCGAGCCGAACCCTTTCGTTTCGACGACTTCGCGGATCGCCTCGTCCTTCACGGCCGTACGTGGCACCAGCCGCACTTGACCTATATATTATTATGCTGGCGACGTACGGATGCAACGCGCGTCGTTTGCGAATAGGCCCGCGGGGCCTTATCCGAGGTAAGAAGGCCTGGTCTGAGTTTGTCGTCTTTCCTTCCTGCAGCGCGACGAGCCGTCCCGATCTGACCTTCCGCGACGGACGCGAAATGACGCGAAATGTCGCGAAATCGTTCCTCATCGTTCACCAGGCCGAGATCGATAGACCATTAGCGATTTTATGTTTGTAATTAACATCTCTCGTGTATATGTGTGCGCGTGTGTGTGTGCGTGCCGGTCCTTTCTTCGAGGAATTCAATTAAAAAGTATAATCACACATAACTTGTCTCCTTCTTTATGAATGCAATTTCCCCCGGGCATTTGTAGATAACCACGAATACGTTATCTCGTTGAGCAAAGGGGAGCAAGACGAATTAATTAGGCACCTTGTTTGGGAGCGACAAATAACGAGCAAACAAGTGAATGAGCCGAAAGTTCGTTTTCATGAGGCGTGCGCGCGCGCGCGCGCGTTTAAATTCGCCGTCGGGCCATTTCTTCCTTCTGGCTGAAGTTCTAGCGTAGAAATGCGAGACGCACCCTGAGATCCTGTTCGACTCGGTGACTTGGAATAACTCGAACAAAGGGGGAGCGAAGTGAGTTTACACGGGCGGAGGAAATACTCTCGTCCTCCGCGCGAGCGGGCAAATTTTGTGCGCGCTCCTTAAAAATCCCTTTCCTTCGCTCAAGGTCCGACTCGAGTGCCCTTCGATCGTTCGCCGCGCTGCCTCACTCTTGACTGGCATTCAAGAAGGCCACGAGATCACTGCAGCTTCGCCGCGCATCGCACGCGGCCGACCGCGGCTATAAAACGAATCGCGCGCCTCGTGGAAGGCCAGTATGCCAGTGCGAGCGAGTGCGCTCTTGTACGATCTCCCGGTGTACAGTTCGCACCTTCGCAAATCGCTTCTCTCTCATCGCGCCGCTTCAAGAGGCCCCCCGTCGAGTCCTCGAGTCGGCGACTCCTCCTCGTCGGCGCAATTTCGATATACGTCTCGACCCTCCTTCGCACGCATTTTAACGCAGTGATGTGCGTCGGCGTGATGTTCGGTGCGCCCACGTCCGCGAGGAGAAGCGCGTGACGATTCCTCTCGTTTTTGTCGCGAAGCAAAGTCGAGCAGCCGCCGTTAGCGAAGAGAGGTAACGTCCTCTTCACCCTCTGCGCTTCCACGTCGAGTCTGCACACAGACAGGTGCATGCTGCACTCGAATAAATGTTACTTGCTTCAAGTGTTCCATAAGTTGACGCGTCCGTGAATCACAGGTCCATCGTAAGCGATAAATTTACTCGAAGCACAAAGTCGGATCAACTTTTCCAGTCTTGCAATATTTTTGTAAAGAGACACTGCGATACATTCTTCCTCTGAGTACATGCTAATCAACTTTTCTCAAACTTGTGATGAATATATTTCGAAGATTGCTATGTAGAGAAGATATTTTTCGTTGAAAATAATCATTACTTAAAAGAAGTAAAAGGAGCAGATTGAATAATCGCAGAAAGTAGAACGATATTTTTCTGCGTATACCTCGACGTCGCGTGTCGTTCTAGTCGATTCTATCTAAAGTAACGTTTTGTTTATTAACAAGTACACTTCACATAAATATATTACTGCAAATCTATGCATGGTTGCGTTAATGTAATACAGAAATACATCGGAATAGAAGCAAACCGCGTCGCGAGGTGTAGATATTGTCGCGAAATAAATAAATTTCCACGAATCGCGCGAGGAGAAAAATCGAAAACGATTCGATCCGCGACAGAGTTCAAGATCACGGAAAATTGAACAGTATGTGAGTGCACCGGATACTGATAAATTGCACATCACTGTACGCGATACATTAATCACGTCGCTCGATGAACATTGTTGTCTCACAACTATTCTCATCCATTTTCCCGTCCGTATATTGATGTCGACGGGGCTGGCGGCGATAGTGACCGTGAGTTTTCTGGTTTAGCGTTTAACGTAATCGCGCCCCCGTTGAGAGATCCGTACCGAGTCGGGGAACGTTCGAGCGGGCACTCCTCAAGCCGAGAAAGGTAAGTATACGTTGACCCCTTGACTTTTACTCTCATTACAACTGACCATCGCAATTAGAATGTGAGGCTTTTGCCGCGGGGGGAGAGGACGGCCGTCAACGGTGTGTCTTCAAATGTAACAAGGAGGCGCAGACTTAGAACTCACGCGCGAACAATACGAAAGGTCGCTAAGCGGTTTTCGCTTTGTCACGTCTTCCTAGAGAACTCACATCTTCAAATTTCTTTGCTGCGACACAAGGATGGAGCTGGAGATACACCAAGAGTCGAAGGATGGGATTGGCAGCTTGCCGTTCGTGCCGCCTCCCATGAAGAAATCCGAGACGAGGGACAGTATCTCGTCCGTCGACAGCGACGTAAGTCTCTCGTTCGACAGGAGAGGTTCCAAGGGCGAGGAGGCCGATCTGTCGGACTACGACAGCGAGATCAGGCCCCCAAAGGAAGAGATCGGCGTCGACCAAGACTCAGGCGCGGACTCCTTGGACGACTCGACGCCGAAGGAGCTGGCGAACAGCCGGGAACAACAACAGGAGCCATCAAAGGTTCCCGTTTCTGAAAGTACCGCGGACGATTTCGTGCCGCCGAGCGACGACTTAGCCGACAAGATCTGCGCCCAGGTGGAGTTCTACTTTTCCGACGAGAACATCGTGAAGGATGCTTTCCTGCTGAAGCACGTGAAGAGGAACAAGGAGGGCTACGTGTCTCTCAAGCTGATATCCAGCTTCAAGAGGGTGAAGCACCTCAGCAGAGACTGGAGAGTGGTCGGCGCGGCCTTGGCGAGGTCCAAGAAGCTGGAGGTGAATCCGCAGGGTACTAAGCTGCGCAGAGTGGATCCCTTACCGCCCTTCGACCAGACGGCGCCCTCCAGGACCATCTTGGCGGCGAGGCTGCCGGTGGAGAAGCTCACGGTCGAGTCGGTCGCCGAGATCTTTAAGCCCTGCGGTGAAATCGCGCTCATCAGGGTGCTCAGGCCCGGGCACCCAGCACCCTCCGAGGTAAGGCTTTCTCTCGAATACTTGTTGCAGATTTGCGACGTTCAACAGTTCCAAGTCCCTATTTGCCACTCTATGACTATTTTGATTAATGAAGCGTTTAAATGAGAGAGTAAGTTCATAAGATATAACACTTGTGATTGAGCAGGTTGATCGAGCAGGTTCAATCAATAAATTAAGAAGTAGTCGTGAAAGAATAACGCGACGAAGTCACCTAGTCGAGAAGTAGGTCATATATCACATTGACTTATTAGCTATTTATTGATTGTAATCAATAATAATTATTAGACAAGAAGAAAGTGTCGGGACTACATGACAAATCGATCACCAGTGTTATTCCTAATGGGTTCGATTCTTCATTGTAATATATGGCGAGAATTTTGCATTTTCTCTCTTCTGACGTCATCATAAAGATGACTAGGCTTTTATATACGAAATTATTCTTTATATGTGAATACAACGTACAGTTGTGGCAAAGTACATTGCCGGTCACATACGTGGGGTCAGCGTGAAGCACGTAGGCAGTAGATGAGAAGATTGCTGACTATTGATAAGAATCGCGAAGTCGCGATTACCGCTGTCACAGCTTTGTAATTGTTATTGACAGTTCAACCGAGCGGAACACTGCGCATACCTAGGCTGATAATAACCAGTGGCGAGTCGAATAATGCTTGTTTGTCGCGATTCCGCGACCAATTTTCCAAATTTTCCACTATTGCGCCGTGATGTGGAAACCACCATGATGTAACGTATGTACAGATTGCAGTCTTACACTTAATGTGAGACGCTCACCTTCTAACAACCTGTAATTGATCGCGAGAGCTGAAACTTGTGATTGCGGTAAACGACTATTCCGTCAATGTTTGATCTCCGTCCAGGTAGTGATTTGGTTAATCCTTACGTCAACTGTTTGTCAGTCGAGATTAATTGATGATAAATTAGCGTGATGAATGCTGCGTGATAAATCTTCAACGCATTATTTTTTAATGTGTTATCTATGTAATCTGTACAATCATCCGTATATATAATCACTGTAAATCTATGGACACATAAATTGCAGTCTTTTCCAATGAGTTTCGCTGGATATTCGAATAAGACAAAGAATTTATTTTATTTCAGCAATTTTCAGAAAATATAATTTTCAAATTTGTGCTTTCCAACAGTCTTCCGGAAATAAGAGAAAGAGAGAAAGCAAAATTTGCTATCTAGTCCAATTGATTAGTTTTCTTTTTTTTATGAAAACAGTACGAATTTTTATAGCAACTTTCAAAAAATTGTCTTTTTGGATACCAAACGCGTTTTGAAGTTTTTATCGAAGCAAAAGTATCGCAACCTTTCTTTCAATTGACGTATCTTAATTATATCTTAATTATCTTGTTTATGTATGCAGCAGGCATAAGATAATAATATAACGTAATATTAATATAATGTAATAATACGATCTGTAATATAATATATAACATAATATAATATTAATTTAATAATATTTATTTAATAATTAATATTAACATAATATAATATCAATATATAAATATAAATATATATAAATATTCTATAATATTATATTTAAAAATATAATGTAAAATATTTCTCAAATATTATACTCATCACAATATTTCTCAAATTTTTTTGGCCCAGGTACGACAGGCTATCTCGAAGAGGCCAGAACTGGCGTCCAGCGAGGAGTGCGCCATGGTCGAGTTCACGGACTCGAATTCTGCGCGGATCGCCATGCAAATGACGACCTTGGGTGACGCCAAGGTATTCGAGCTGCATCAGTCGGCTGACAAGAAGAGGAAGCATCAGCCCACGAAGAAAAGTGTTCTTAATAGAGTGACTAGGGAGGATAACTACAATTCGTCCAGTTGTCCAAGCGGCTCTGAACCGGAGGATGGGCGAATGAGGCACAAGAAAAGCGTCCCAGGATACCCGATGTATCACATCCACGCGGGTTATCCTTTCCAAGGTAGAGTCTTCCGAGAGAGAGAGAGAGAGAGAGAGAGAGAGAGAGAGAGAGAG